TACAACAAAAAATAAATCACACAGGTATTGCAAACTTGAAACAGAAGCCCAGATTTGACTAATCCAGGCGGAAGGCAACACAAGGGCTCCCTCTAGTGCAATGGGGCTTTCCTCCTCCTCTTCTTGTCCCACACCCAATCAACTCTAGGGAGTCAGGCAAGATTCCAGAATATTGTATGGGGGGGCGTGAATGATCAGAAGAGCACAACACTGAAATCTTTCCAGTGAGTCCCAGACTACGGAGGCTACGCACATAAGGTATATGGGAGCCATTATTCATCACCATTTTGTCCCCCGTGCTATTGAATATGAATCTGAAACTGCTGAGAACTATCACCAGGAAATTTGGACTGAGGTGTCACCAATAAGCGAATGACACCCAACTCTGTCTCTCTGTTCTGTCTGAATCAGGAGAGGTGATCAAAGTGCTAAACTGGTGCATGGAGGCAGTGAGAGGCTGGATGTGGGTCAATAAAGAAGACGCATCTCTTTACCCCAACCTTTGACAGTTGAGCTGTTTTGATTTAGGGAGCTGTTCCTTCCCCAAGAGGTGTGTCGAGCTCTTACTGTTTTATGGGACCTATCTCTTTTGTTGAATTTAACCTATTCTTGTCCATTCGAAATGTTTTTACTAATGACATATGCACCGGACTATGCTGTAATTGTCTGGATCAGATAGATGTGCTCTAGTAGCCCTTGAACTCTTAGAATAAAACACTTAATTCTGAAAAACAAGTTCCAGACATGATCCTTCAGCTCAAATTAAGCCCTACCTGGAAATACCTGAGATGGCCACAGCCAGAGATGATGTCTGTGAGTCAAGTCTTGTGATGCTGAGGTGGAAGAGCATTTTGCCTGGTGGCTCTGACTCCAGAATAGGAACCCAGTTCCCCTGCTTGCCAAATATGGGAGTGGGAGTGGTTTCCCCCTATAACCTGACTCATGCCTCTAGGGGGTTTCTTTGCTTTCCCCTTGTGGCTTGGGAAAGTGGCTTGCTGACATCATTTGGTTCCCAGTCTGTGCCTCTGGTTTCAAGAAGTCCAAAGCCTTCTTTCTTATTGCCTCACACTACTAAACAGAGCTGGACTGTGCATTCACAATTTTAGCGATAAGAAACATGTTTGTTATAAGAAGGATAGAATAGAGTTACAAATAGATGTATGTCACCATAACCCTAACTCCAGAGAAGTATGAAGGCATTTCTTTCACAGCACAAACGCTCTCCTGTTTACACACACACACGGCAAATCACTTAATTGTCCAAGGACAGTTCCCTTTATAACTTACAGACTTTTATATCACTGCATTTCATTTACAAGCACAAACTTCCTTGATTTCCTTGACAGATTCATTACAGGCCTGCCTTTATTTCCATTTGAGTCAGAAACAAAGATATGCAAAAGGGGGAAAGATCAACCTCAATATATTTAATGGATGGTTAAGGCAGGGGTGGTAGCCATCTTCATAAATAATGGCTCCATAAGAAAACATAATCTTTGTTAAGGATGAAGCTTCTGCTATCAGCAACTCAGTGTTCATGCAGCTTCCTTGACTTGCAACCTGATCCTGTGCATGTCTAATTGGAGGCGAATGCCGCTGACTACAAGAGGGTTCAAGCCCACTGTGTATGCAGGGAAAGACTGCAGCCTTAGTAAGCTAAGTAACTCACATTTCTTGAAACTTCCCACTGTGATACTCAAGACATGATTTTGCAGGAAGGGACTGAAGCTCTGCAGTAATTGCTTGTAAATTGGTTTGGAGACAGCTATGCAAATTCTGAACGGCAGCATTTCCAGTGAGAAGGAAAAAAGCTTTCTGATGTAAGGCCCAATGATGTCCTCCAATGAAATGCATAATCAATGTCCCTTAGACAGAGTTCAGATGAATTAGATGTAATACCTATAGGAACAGGGCTAGCAAAAGTGTGTTTATTTGTGACACTTGTGTGCTGTTCTTTAACGATTGTTTACAAATGGTTTGTAGCATAAAACATGGCAGCAACAAAAATGCATTCTGTGGGTCAGTAAAATAGATCAAAACAGTACTTCATCAGTTCTCTGTTTCATTTAACAAAGGTACTGCTCTCAAAAGTATGGTGGAATAAAAATGTTTGCACCTGCTTATCCTGGGGAAGGAAGAAATGAGGCCAAATTAGGGTATTTCACAACCCTGGGGGCAACCATTGAAAAGGTCCTGCTCCTCCACGCTAAGAATATTTTACAGTGGTACCTCAGGTTACAAACGCTCCAGGTTACAGACTCCGCTAACTCAGAAATAGTACCTCAGGTTAAGCACTTTTCTTCAGGATGAGAACAGCAGCGGGAGGCCCCATTAAAGTGGTGCTTCAGGTTAAGAACAGTTTCAGGTTAAGAACGGACCTCTGGAAGGAATTAAGTTCTTAACCCGAGGTACCACTGCATCGGTACCTTCAGAAGAGTCCACTGGGAGATCTTAAAACAGGGCTGGAAAAACCACAGTCTGACCAGGTGTCATCAGATGCCAATTCCCATCAGTCCCAGCCAGCACAGCCACTAGGGATGAGATTATCCTCTTCTGAAACAATATTCAGTTAGAGATCTTCCAGCTTTGTTCTAATAGCAGATAGTCCTTCCCATTTTAATACTTGAATTTTAAATGATATATGTGTTGCGTTTCAGGCACAGTAAAAATGCGCTGTCCACAAGTACAACCAAGCTTCCTGAGCTTCCTGCCCAGCGTAAGAGAAGCAGTGCTTCAGATCTGCATTAAGAGCCCTGTCAGGGAGTAATAGAGACAGAATCCTTTTAGAAACCCACACAATAACTGTGCCAGGCCCAGATTCCAGCATCAAGGTTCAACCAACTTAAAGTAAGTAAGAGTTTCGCACTGCAATAACAGATTCTCTAGGAAGCTCTCCTACAGCAACCAGTTTGTGCAAACACAAACTCATCACGTAGAAATTGCCACAGAAGTCTCTAGAATAGAAAATGTTCTCCGGCTTCCTTTTCTGAGAGACTTCAATTTCTATAACTGAGGAGGGGTGTGTATTAAGAGAGGTTCATGGCTCTCAAACTTATATAGATGTGCAAGTCTATTTTCTCTTTCTTCAAATGCTGCTCTGCTTCTGAACATCTTGTGTTTGGCAGTCCTGCTATATTATGACTTCAGGAAACGCTGCTGAGTTGAAGGGAGCACAGCTGCAGATGCTGCTTCTGCTGCTAAGGCAGCAAGCATCCCCAAGCCAGCCCTAGTAGTAGGCAGAGTGATATGACAGCAGCTAGATGATGGGGGTGGGCAGCAGCTGCTGTCCCCGGAGCCCTGAGCTATTGGAAGGTAGCGCTGTGTGCGCCATGCAGCTTGCCCTGCACAACTAGCCTGCTGCCCTCAGGTGTGCTGGAGGACACTATCCTGTGGCCAGTGTTGAAGTAAGATTGAGCTGCCAATCAAGTCAGCTTTTGCATGTAGAAGAGGAGAGCACCACCTTAGCCTTCACTCCAGTGGCCCTGGTGATATGCCTTGCCATATGTCCGTAATTTCCCAGACATATCCAGAATACTGCAGTTGGAAGCGGTAAAGACAAAACAACAAACACTCAATAATTTTTCTGTCCGGATTTTCACTGTTTGAAATATGGCAACCCTATTTCATCAGGCTACCTATGCATCACAGTTCTTAAATCCAAACAGACAGGATCTCTTATTATATTCCCCAGTCACTTGCAAATTTGAAAGCTCCAGTCTTTAAAATGTCATGTTTCCCACTGATTTCGCTCTTTCCCAAGACTCTTCTTCCATACTCCCCTTTACTGTCCTCCTCTCCCAGTTTTGAGTCAGGGATCAACGGTCTCATCTGTGACTAGTGGCCTGTGTAATTGCTGGAATTAACGCTACCTCCCCCTGCACTAGATGGTGGCCCTGGCTTTGTGCTTTGTCTTACAGAGAATTACGAGTGGCTCCAAGCAAGGGAAACAGCTGTGACCTATACCTCTGTTACAACAGACAGCTGGTCACAACCTGTTTCTTGACATGCGTTTGCGTTGCATAAATGTTTAGCGGCAAAGGTCTGCTGCTGTCTGGAGCTATTATAAACAGAGTTGAATGTTGGCTTCCTTCTTGCCTTGCTACTTGGATTCAAGGGAAATGCTGTAAAACCTCTTCTGAGTGGTCTAACTATGCCTAGAACTAATTGCACTTGCTCACCCAGACCAGCTATCTCTTGGATAGACCCATTTAGTGATTGGGATCGTCACCCCAACGTACACTGTGCTCCTGCTCCAAAAGCCAGATATCCGTGAAGCATGCCTCTGTCTGGGCAGCACCATTTCCAAAGGGCAGTGGCTGAACTTAGTAAGGATGCAGCAGAGGGCAGGAAGAGATTTGTCTGCAGACCATGTTGTTTCAGGTCCTTTAAGATATCTGCAGCTTTTAGAAAGGGAATTTCTCCTGGTCACTAGCTGAGCATGCTTCATGGCAAAAAAAATTATTTCCATTCAAGCTTAATGTCCATCAGCTTCTGATTTCTTTGTGGGAACATTCATCCACGATGAACATTCATCTTTATTTAGTTGTATAGAATTAATATACATCTTCCTGTTAAGCATTTCTTCATCCCACACTTCTCAGTTTCCTCTTCACTTTCCTAACCAGAAAAAGTCAGGGATTTTTTAAATAGAAGTGGATACATGGGCGTAGCCAGGATTTTTGTTAGGGGGGGCAGGCCTCTTGTTAAGGGGGGGCAGAACTTTAGTTAGCTATGTATTTTTATAGATTGTTATTGATTTAGGGGGGGCAGATGCCCCTCCCTGCACCCCCACCTTGGCTATGCCCATGAGTGGATATGTTGTATGGGGGGGGCAGAGGGTTTCAATCTACTAATTTCCCAAACCTAAATTTCAGGTATCCGCTTGAATCCCTCCCACAAAATACTGACCATCTGGAGTCCCCAACCTTTCTGCATATCAGACTGGCATTTAGGGACCTACAGAAAAGCAGATAATGTACAACAGCGCAAAATAAATCCAATAGGAGCAGGACCTGGTTTTATTTCCTTGACAGATGCATACTGGGAACTTGGCAGAGGGTGCTGAGTTAGGAACAAAAAAAGTTGATCTCCCAAACATGGCAACCAAATCCCAGAAACAAACTAACCACAATTAGTCTGAAATTAAAACAAACATCAGTTTCCGTTCCTTCCTCCTTTTTCTCATGGCCTGAGGCTCAGTTCACACATAGAAACTGTGATGTAACACAACAGTGTGAAGGCTTGTCACCACAGCATGACTTTATCTGAAACAGCTTGACAGGCAGCAGTGGTAATACAGTATTCAAAACTTCAAAATAGAGGGGTTATAGAGATGCAATGAATATTTTTGCTTTATTCATGTATATCCTGCCCTTCCTTCCACAGGAGCAAATAATATTGTCAGAATTCCACAAAAAGTGGTTTCACAGAAACAACAGGCTGTATAGAGCAGCCTCTGCAAAGTTGGGTTGTTCAAAGCATCTACCAAGCTTCTGTTTTGCATGTGTGAAGTGACCCTTTCAGAACACAATTTTCCCACCTTCTATCCTTCATACAAGGGCCGCACTTGTTTATGCTCCAAGTAAATCCAAAAGCCAACAGAGGCTCACATACACTAGTGCTCCTCCTTTTGGAGAATTGGCATGGGGCCTTCCTGGTTGAAGAGTCTGCATGTACCTTGGGTAGCAGAGCATCCACAGAGCTTTAGATCTGTTATGAAATTGCTAGTTTTGTGCAGAGGTGGAACAAATTGCAAGCAATGCAGATTCATATGTTTAAGGTCCCAGTTCCTCACTTCTGATACAGCTCCCAAAGCTAGCAGCTGTGTCTGGGCTGGAAGGGAAGCAAACAACAAAAAACTGTACAGGTAAGCAACACAACCATTTCAACAATGCATCAGGAAGATTAGAGGACAGATTCTGATGCAGTGTTACAATACATAGATTCATTCCAAAGTTGATAGACGTACCTTGTGTTTGGTTAATCAGACCCTTACACGGAGGTGGCTAATCTACTGATCACAATAATTTCATGGAGCTGGTAATTAGAAGGAAAATCTCCTGGGGCACCTTGGTGTATGGCTGTTATGCTATTCCTAGCCCTTATGTAAGTGCATGGAACTATAGTCTACCCTCCAGCTATATTTTTATGAAGGATTGCACATGGTTCTATTACGGAATCACACTCTTTCCACCAGCTCAATTTCATTTTATCTGACAGCTGTGTCACTGCATAACGAGCTATTGCCAATGGCCCTGTATCAATCTCCTTTAGTTTGTCCTGCATGGTGACAAACTAGGTGACTGTTAAATTAGGAAAGAATAGTAGGGGAAATTCTAAAATACAGTATAGAGGGGAAATGCTTTAAAAATAAATAAATAAATCCAACAGTTTGACACTCTTTTCTGCAAAACCAAGACACATTAAACAGTTGCAATCATTCCATTCAAAGTGTTAGGAATCAGAGTGCTTATCTAAAATCTCCAATTTACAAACTAGTTGTCTTATTAATACTTATAAACAATACGCAAACAGGACATGGGCACAGATGCTTGCACAGATGCTCCCAACTACTTGCCCTCTTGATTCCTGCCCATCATGGCTGGTGAACTTAGCTGTGGGGTGTTGAATGGGTGTGTCCAGGGCATGGGGAACATTTATTTGAGTGAGGTGGTGGTGCCTGCCACCTTAAAGGAAGCAGTGGTGCAGCCACAACTGAAGAAAGGCGCCCTGGACCCAATGGGTTGCAACAACTATTACCCAGTTGCAAATACTCCCTTTATGGGAAGGTGACCAAGAGAGCTGTGGCAGAACCACCGGACATTCCTGGATGAGACTGGATCCATGCCAGTCTGGGTTCAAGAATATGTTTGGGACTGAATCAGTCTTGGTCACCCTGCTGACAAGGGGAGCACAACCCTACTCCTTCTGCTTGATCTCTCAGCAGCTTTTGGTACCATTAACCATGGTATCCTTCTGGTTTGATTCTGTGGAATGGGTCGTGGTTCTGTTCCAGTGGGAGAGTGTTTTTCACCCCCTCCCCCCAGTGTTTATGCTATAGGGTCCTGGAATATCCTCTCCCCAATGCTGTTCAGCATCTATATGAACCCACTGAGAATTTGGGAGTAAAATATTATCAGTACTGCTGTTTCTCCATTACAACTTAGTCAGCGCAAACACTGGACAATAAATTGAGCTTGATTCCTGGTAACATGGAGGCCTTGTGGGTGGGTGATAAATCAATCAATCTTCTGTTCTGGATGCTATTGCCCTCCCTCTGAAGGAGCAATTCTGCAGCCTGTGTGTATTCCTTGACCCATCTCTGTCACTAGAGGCCCAAGTGACCTCTGTGGCTACGAGTGCTTTCTCCTAGCATCAACTGCCTGTAACTGTTCCTGCACCACAATAGCCTAACCACATGGGCCCAATTTGCTTGTGGGGAGTTTACATGTATTCCCATTAACCGTTCATTCACCCACTTTCTGATGCATTTTCCCATCACTTTCCTAAACACAAAAGGTCAGGGTTTTTGTGTGTTTGTTTCAAATGGTTTTGTTGTGGTTGGGTAACAGAGCACTTTAATCCACTTTGATTGCACAAACCAAAATTTCAGCTCTGCACTTGAATCCCTCCCACAAAATAGGGGCAATCACCTTCGTCTCTGGGTGATTCTTACCTGTTGAATGTGAGCAAACTTTTGGGCAATCTATCTGCAGCAGTTTTGAATCACTAACAAAATATTTAGCATTAGTGATGAAAACTTCCAATCAGCCATTCTTCCTGAAAAGAAAGCAGCCTAGTACTCAAATACCGACTTGGCTTGAGGAGTCACAGTATTTAGTTTTGTGGCCACTGTTGGCATTCCTTGCAGCTGCAATGAATAAACAGCTTTTTATTATTATTGAGAGCAAGGCTTGGGCTTGTGCCTCGTGAGCAACACACTCCCACACTTGAGGCTAGCTTGAGCTGGTCTGGGCAGCTGCAAACACTGGTACTATAAGCACTGACCTTCTTTTCCACCAATCAAGCCAGAGAAAGATCTGGTATACGTCTGTCAGCGCAGTGATGCATGTAAATAGAGGAAAGCATGCTTGAATTGTCAGGCATGCAGTTGTATGAAATTAAAATTGCTAAGCATGAGCCCAATGGTTGTTGTTTTTTTAGCTAGTTACAGATGTATAAGCCAAGGGTAGGGGACCCTTTTCAATCCACACATTCCTCTCTAGGTGTGGGCCACATGTGACAGTGGTAGGTGGGGCCAGAGTCAAAAGTGGGCATGCAAATTTTACTTTTGTACCGTAGGCTAGGGCCCAGGCCATTTAGGGCTTCAATGAGAACTCTGAATTTGGCTCAGAAATGTTATCAGCATCTGTTGCTGCCGCTGAACCAAAATCATTGTCATGAGGTTCTCTGAACCACTTGATCTGCCAGAGCGAGAGCTTATTTTGGGTAGGTGGGCACTTGAATAGTTGCTCCCAAAAGCAAGGTAATCTAAAACGTGTGAACAAGTTGCCAGGTATGAATGTCAGTGGTTTTAATCATTTTGGAGAACAGGTCCCGCCAGATTCAATGAACTGAGCGGAATAAATCCGTTACTTCTGATGCCCAGTGGTGTCTGGAGAATCAGCAAAGCTGAAGTCCAGGCTTGCAATCTTTTTCGGGGATGCGGGGGTGCAACCCTTTTTAATCACTGTTGACATAGCATTTCAAGTGCCATACACATATCTCTCTTGTGTCTGGATTCAGTTTCATTTTTTAATTGTCCTTTAGCCTATTATGATGTATAAGGACATAAGAGGAACCTAGTCCAGCATCCTGTTCAGTGGCCCACCAGAAGTCCGAAAACAGGACCTGAACACACAGCACTCTCCCACTTGCGATTCCCAGCGATTGGCATTTAGAAGCATACTGTCTCTGACAGTGGATATAGGCACTCAATCAAGGAATCACCTGCTTTGTCTTTTTTTTAAACAAACAAACAAACAAACAAACAAACAAACAAACAAACAAGGTTTTATTTGGTTTCTTTTGTAACATCAATAAAATGAACAATGGCTTTGTCAGTTTTCAATGGACTATTAGAAGAAAAGCTCCTTTACTCCAAAATTCCAGACAAGTTCATACTTCCTATTTCCTTGACATCTAAAGCAGAACTTTTACATCTTCATTTGTACCCACACTTGGAAATTTTGCACCTCACCAGCCACAGGGTGAGAGCGAGGATGCAAAAGTTCTGCTTCTGAAATCACAAAGAGGCGCATGAACAAGACACTTGCACTTTCCTGTTCCCTCTTCATCTTTTAAGGAAGCCAAGGAAACTGAAGAAAACAGTAAAGTTGAGGTCTGTGTGGGGTCATTGCTCCATCAACTTCTTGCCCAAACCAATTCTGAGCAAATGTGCTAAATAAAGTAAATGCATTCCATCTAATAAGTTGGTAGATGTTTACTCTTGGGAGACCCTAAAACCACAACAACAACTAAAAAAGGCCAAAAACAGAATTTCAGTGGGGCATCAATTGGATTTCTGACTTCCAGGCAGGAAATGTAAACCTTGAATACCCTCTAAACTTGATGGTTTAAAATATGGAAGGCTAGATTCAGAGGTATCTTACACAAGTGAGAAATAATTTTCACTTACTCAAGGCAGCCAATTCCCATCCTTCTTCAGCTCCCTGTGCTTCAATTCCATGCTATCCCAGAGGGTATTATCAGGAGCAACTTGGGGCAGTGTCACAGAATGCTGCAGTAGGAAGGAGATACCATGGAGGCCCTTTATACAAGCAGAGTTTCCCTTATACTTCTCTGGATCCAACCCTGAAAACCTGAGTGCAAAAGATCCATTGAGAACTCTTCTTCTGTTTACATTTCTCTCCCCATTTTTGTCTTTTTAAAGTATAAAATTAGATTGTAAGGGAGGGACTGTGTATGTTGCCATGCAAAGTGTCATGTGTGACACTAGCAATTTATTAATAGTAAAAGGGTTTTTGATTTGTTTTTTACATACACATGTCTGGCTGTTTTCCCCTTATCCATCTATTCCTTCCAAGTTCTTGATTTGACCAGCACAGTGCAAGACCAGCCATAGCTCAGGCCTTCTGCCTTATTGCTTTTCTTTAAAAATTTAATACCCTATCGTATCCCTTTAGGCTCAGGATAGCTTACAACGTAAGACCAATGAAGTAACATAATATTCGTCACTGGAAGGCAATAAAGCACAATCATAATAAAATTACAGCAGTCATAAAACAAAATAACAACCAGAGCATAAAATCACAGCAACCTATGCCAACGCTTTCAAAGGCTGTGAAACATGTGTGTGTGTGTGGGGGGGGGAATGCCTCACTTTGCTGTCCTAAGGCGGAAGACAAGTTGTGTATAAATGACTCAACAAAGAGTATGTTTTATATTTATGTACTAAATGTTTATCCCAACCTTCTTTCAAAGAGCTCAGAGCTCACAATGACCTTGCCCAGTGGGCTAGGCTGAGCAACTGCTGAAAAGGCTTTGCTGCTGTCCACATTAGTTCTTACTTCCTTTACTGATGAGAATATGAGCAGGGCATCTCCAATGGATTAAAAAATGTTTGTGTGAGACAGCATTATTAGCAGAGGGGTTAGAGATATACAAAGCTGATTATATATTTCCAGACCACTAATATTATAGAAGTTTGTTTCAATAAGTTATTTTGACCGTCTTTCCATCCTCCCCTAGCCTTCATCCTTTCTTGCCTCTTGTAGATTCTTCCACAGATCACAGCAGTGCCTCGGCTGAGAGTCTTGCCTAGGTTAGGTTCTTGCAGTTTAGCCTGTACACTGGGTGGTCACATGGTTGCTTCTTGTAAACATGAAGCAGTGCACATGAAACCATGGCATGACAGAAGCCTAGGATGTATGGCCACGTGGTGAATTTTTACCCATCTTCCTAGTTCCCCAGATTTCTAGAAGGCAGTCAGAGGTATGTTTAGATGCTATATTTGCCATGGGGATCACCATCCTCTTGCAGAAGTACCATTGCTGAACCAATTGTTCAATACAACTCACCATGCGAGTTCCCCTGGTCCTGCCAGAAGTGCCATTTGCAGGCTGCGAAACCCACTACCTGATGGTTACAACTCAGGTAGCAGATTACACCGCATGATAAGGCTGTGGGTTGGGAAACTCACCCTGAGGATGCAGATTTCCATGGAGAAAATATAGATCTCACCCTGGTTTGACACACTGGACTCCTGTACACATATGCCACACAGTAAAAGCCTGAGCACACATTGCAGTCACCTTGCACGTGCAGCCAACAAGGCTTCCCTATTGCACAGCTTCCTTGCCTGTTCCCACACCAACTACCATCAGAATATGAGTCTCAACACCACCAGCACATGCGTGCCAGCTTGAGACTAAATTGATAGTGCGCATCCGCACCCACAATAAATGTTGTTGTTTTAAACCAGGAAGGGATGACTGACTATGTGGGGAGGCTGCTTTCGGCGGCATCTCTACATACTTTCCGCGTGCTTCGACCCCCCCCCCCCGTTTCAACAGGCCATTGGCAGACTTTTACAGCAGCCCCCAGTTCCGGGCTGCCCGAATTCGCAGCCGCTCCGGCGCATACTGCCACGAGTTCCTCTCAATTCTCGTTCAGAGAACGCGGAACGCGCGTCTTGACGCACAAGCCTCCGGCCCTGCTTCGGCTCCTTCCGTTCCCGCCAAACCCGCGCGCGCGGCCCCGCAGCAGCCGCTTCGTCCCCACTGCGCCCTCAGCCCGCTCCTTCGCAAGCTGCCTTCTCGCGCCCATCCCGGGCAGGGGCGCGCGCCGCCCTCCACCTCCCTCAGCCTCCGTCTCCACGCCGCTCGGAGTTGCGCCCCAGCGCCTCTTCCCTCTCTCCACCCCAGCCCCACACTGCTGCGCGTCCGGGGCCGCCCCTCCTTCTCCTCCTCCCTCGGCTCGCTGACGACAAGCCCGCCCGAATTCCCCTCCTCCTCCCCGCCCGTGAGCGCCGAGCCGAGCTGGGGCTGAGCGGAACGGGCCCGCCCCCCGGATCCCCGCCCTCTTCCCCCTCCGCCCCAGCCAGCGGCTGCTCAGAGCTCGCCGCGCCGGCACCCGGAGGGCAACGGAGGAAGCCAGCGAGCAGCACCGCCCTGCCCGACGACGCCTATCCGCCCGCGCGGGGCAGCGACCCCCGGCCCCACCCCCTCGGTTGCCAGCTCCCCCTCAGCGCCAAGCCAAGCCGAGCCGAGGCAGCCCGGGCTCCGCTCGCGTTTGCTCGCTCTACCCGACAGTCTCTCCGCGGCCGGCACGAGCCCAGCGGCGCCATGGGCTGCACCGTGAGCGCCGAGGACAAAGCGGCCGCCGAGCGCTCCAAGATGATCGACAAGAACCTCCGCGAGGACGGCGAGAAAGCGGCGCGGGAGGTGAAGCTGCTCCTCCTCGGTGAGAGCTGCGCCGTCGTCGTGTCCCTCCCTCCCTCTGCTTCTCGTGCCCCGGGGATGCGGGGCCCCCTCCCCCCAATGCGCCGCCTTGCCCCGACGAGGCGCCTTCTGCAGCCCCAGCCTTCGAAGGCTTACTCGGAAGGAAGCCTCTCGGAGTTCGACGGCGCTTACTCCCAAGTAAACGGGCGGAGCGCCGCCGCTTTAGAGGAAGCGCCCACCCGCCCCGGCCGTCTAGGTCCGCCGACTCGCCTCCCCCCCGCTCTGTCTCTCCCCCCCCCCCGCATTGCCTTTTCCCTTGGACTTGAGGGACTTTCCAGGACCCTCCTCCGAATTTCGCCGTGGCTTCTGAACCCGCCGCCCCTTTCTATCTCTGCGGCCGCCGCCCCACCCCTGGCCCTGCCCGAGCCCCGCTGCTTTTCGCCCAACTCTGAAGCCGCTCGTTCTGCTCCTGGACTCCTTAGAGCGGCAAATGGGGATGGGCAGCGCTCTCCTCGGGACCCCCTCCCTTCTTTTCCAAAAGCCATGTAACGTGGCTCAGTGGAACATACAGTTTCCTCACCCTCTAGGAACTGTAAGGGCTGTGCCCTCGAATCAGCACGGCAATTCCTGTAAAATACGTTGTCACTAAGACTTCCTCTTCTCTCCCCCCCTTCCTATCCTACTTGCTTTTCCAAATTTAGCATAGGAGTCCTCAGTTACTTATTTCTTCACAGTAGCTGGCCTTTATGATTATCTCCCCAAAGTCCACATGCTGAGATGCCCCTCCATTTTCACGTCCTCACAATGGTTGTCTTGATACTGTGTTGGTGGCCGACCCCCACTTTCTGTCTGCTCCCTGCCAGCCCTGGTGGTGTTAGGAAAGAATAATCTAAACTGCAAATAAGTAGAGAATGCTTGCAGAGAGAGCAGGCAGTTGTCCCAGTAGGAAATGGAAGGGTGGTCTCTGTTCATTTTTAGATGGTGAATCTCCCTTGTCATTCTGCTCTGTAAAAAAAAAAAAAGAGATGTGTTTCTCCCTCTTCAGTGGTTAAGATGGTTGAACATTTCTCTGTGTCTTTAGTTTCCTTCAGTGCCTAGGGCCTCGTTGTCTATGAAACTTTGCTCTTGCACGCTTTTTCTTCTTTTTTGGGAGTTCATCACTGTGCAAGCTTGGAGAAGTAAAACCAAAGTAAAAGATTCATATGTGGACTCTTAGCGTGCTTCTGGGTGATTCTTCACGTGAACAATATTTTCTGCATAATATTTTCATATGCTATGCAACATCTAAAGTTTAGGAGCTCTCTGGACTCGTTTACTGTACTGTATTTTCATACATGAAAGTAGCTGTGGGTTATCTGTATGTTTAGGTTTGAGCAGTTAGCCTGGAAACACAAAAGGAGTGAGTGGTTGGACTTATTTTGTCATATGGATCAACGTCTTCAATGTCATTTTATTTTCTGCTGCGATCTTACGACGGGGAATCATTTGAAAAAAGAGGGAGTAATGTACATGACATGAACTGACATGTTGAGTGTTTTCATTTTCTAGTTCTCACACCAGTCCAAGCAATGCGTATTGCTCTTTCTAAAACACTTTTCTGTTCTGTTCAATGATGTCCGTGGTTTTTAGCAACGTTTCAGTCCAGAATGAAAAGTTCTTTTCTCCTGGAACCTTCAGACAGGATTTTGTAAAGCAACTAATTAATCTTCTGGCACCACAGCTCTTTGTCTCCTGACTTTCGAGAGTAAAAGCAGATTTTGAGTCTCCTAAACAACTTTCCATTGTCTCCTTTGTGTAATATTTCCAAAGAGTGTGAACTGTAGACCACTCCTATCCAGGTTAACCCAGGGGTAAATTCTGCCTAAGGTTAGTGGGATGTACTTCCAGGCAAGTGTTGCACCCCTAAGATGCAATCTTATTCACACTTAGCTGGGAGTAAGCCCCATTGAACTTACTAAGCTTACTTCCGAGTAGAGGTGTAGCTGTCTGTGGACAAACTTGACTGGGCTTAACCGTCCAGGGGTCCTTTACCTTTTACCTTAGAGGTGTATTTGACTGCATCGTTAGTTCGTAAACCCTCAAATTGTGTTCTATAGTGAGTTCCTGGCAGCTGGGACAGTCTGTTATGGTGGTTAACCCAAAAATACAGGAAGTAAGAGAGTGCTGCTGGCAGCTTAACAGAAGTTGACTAAAATGAAAGCCATTTTTTTCAGGAGGGTAAAATGGGGAACAAGACAAGAGAGTTATCACGAAACAATGAAAGCAAGACATCTCTTTCTGTTTAGGCAAACACAAAGCAGCAGGAATAAGTTTAGTGCCTTCTAGCAACGCAGAGCTTGAAAAGTAAATCAGATAACCCAATCTCAAGCCCATTTATTTGGCAGAGAGTCCATTTTATTTCAGTAGAACTTATTTCCAGGTAACCACACATAGGATCACTGTCTATTTTAAATTATTATTTATTGTTGCATTTATATCAGGGGGTCTCTAGGTAGCACACGTTGTTCTCCCCATCTCCATTTTAGCCGCACAACAATCCTGTAATGTAGGTGAGGCTGAAAGACAGCGACTGGCCCAAGGTCACCCTTGAGCTTCATGGCCGAGACAGGATTTGAATCTTGGGTCTCAGTTCCTAGTTTAGCACTCTAATCACTGTACCATACTAGCTCCAAAGGTTCTTGCCCCTTTTGAAAGTATGCATTAGTAATGCTCAATATGATGGCTTGATTAGTACCTGAGAGCTGCGGCAGTTTTTATCTCCCATTTTACAAATGGTGCTGAGGCCATTGGTTGATTATGGTTTGCTCAGGATTGCAGCTGCACTTAGAAATGACTGTGCTTGTTCTCCCCCCCCCCCCCCGCTGTGAAACAGGACATTCATTATGAGAGATGGTTGCTAATCTAGTATAAACTACTTCATTGTGCAAGTTGATGAACAAAATTGCCTCTGAATAGTATGATAAATCCCTGTGGCAGTGATCTAGATTGTAGGATTTCTTAATAGTTTTCAGGCTTAGAGTTTGTAATGAGGCTAATGTGGATAAACACCCAAAGCAGTTCCATTGAATTTTGTTGGCAGAATCTGTAGAATAGATTACGGGGTTTGGGTCTGTGAGTAGAGGGCAAGTCTGGTCTCCAATCTTTATTTAGCCTTTGCATTTTCCTTTCTTTAAAACAAACAAGGCAATAGCATGTAAATCTTGGCATTCCATGTCATGTAATTAATCAAAAAATGAAAAGGGGGAAAAACCCGCACCTTTTAGCAGTGAATTAGCTGTGCTACTTAGAAGATTTGGGGAAACCAAATATTATTCGTTGGTCTGTGTGTCACTTAAATATAGCATGCAAATCCACAAGAAACCTCTTTGGGTTTGTCCACACTAGAACAAAATTTGCATTTGCACCTGCCTTTTTTCCAATTAATGTAGGGACATCCATATTAACTCCTCCTCATCCCAGTGTTGTCTCAGGTCTGTTCAACCTGGCAACCTGTTTGCAGATGATGCAGCCTTGACAGTGCACTCCAAGGAAGCTGTACGGAGACTCCTCGGCTGTTTTGCCCAAGCTTGCATGGAGTTCGGCCTCACCATCAGCCAGACGAAAACCAACACCCTGGGTCAGGATGCCACTAGCACTCCACATATCAGCATTGGCGACCACACGCTTGAGGTGGTAGATACTTTTGTCCACCTGGACTCCAACGTAACTAGCAACCTTTCCATCAACACTGAGCTGGACAAACGTATTGTCAAGGCAGCTACAGAGGCTTGCCTCTCCAAAAAGGTATGGGAGAATGTGATGTTAATGACCAATACCAAGATGAAGGTCTGCCAGGCTTGTTGAATGTGGAGCATACTGATTTTTTGGAAGTGAGTCATGGGCAGCTTGCACTCACCAGGGATGATGCCGCAATGTCTTTCATATCTGTTGTGTCAGGAAGATTTTGGGCATCACATGGCAGGACAGAGTCTCAAACAAAGATGTGCTCTTCCAAGTCCACATTCCTAGCATGTCTGCACTTCTGTCTCAGCGACGTCTACACTTGCTTGGGTCATGTACACAGAATGGAGGATGGCAGGATCCCCAAGAACATGCTGGCTTCAGGCACCAGGCCCTTTGGCAGAGCAACTATGCATTACAAAGATGTCTGCAAACATGACATGAAGGTTTGCAACATTAACCCTGCCGTATGGGAATCCCTTGCAGATGATTCCAGTGACCAGAGGAGGAATGACCGCTGGGAGGAGTGCAGAGAGAAGAAACAGCAAAATCGAATACTTAATTCTGTCCCAGCTACAATAAAACATGTCTCTCCTGTATGATCTCTAAAACCACAGTAGGCACTGTAACTCTCCAATGGTTTGACTTTACCCCCGATGATGTACTCT